CCCCCACTGTCTTTGCTTATCCAACTCCATGGCTTTAGGAATGGAGCAGACCCTGGCTGGCTGAGCTTGGTTCTCTGCCCCTACAGCACAGTTTGAACTGAGGTAGAGGGCAGGGGGAATGGTTTAGTTCTTTCTTTAATTGAATGCTGGTTGTCTAAGCAGGCATTCAATACATCTTGAAACTTGTCCTGCCTTACCCTCCAGTCTTGTACCCCGTCCTGCGTCACCACTTTGGATCTTCACGGGGTCCTGCTATTTTTGCTTTTCCTCATGAGACTCTTCAATCTGATAATCTCCTAATCTTCAACTCCTTGCAATTCATCTACAGTTGTCTTTGCTTTATACCTGGCTTATGTCTTGGGAGTTGTCTTCAAAATAGCTTCTGACCTTGTTGGCTAATACACATTAAGAAACAGGCCTGCAGAGCTACAAGAGCTTTCTCATTCCCCAAATTATTTCCACTGTTGGAGAGAGATGTCCCTATTGCAAGACAATGCTTCTGCACCAGTTTCCTCTACAGCATCTTCCTGATTGACACCCATTTTCATGATCATATTTCAAGTTTTGTTACCCCTGATTCACTCTGCTGTTTTTTGTGGACTTTTAAAGCCTTAAAATAGAAGCTGCCTGATCTGAGCTTAGACGTGCTGATGAACACTGCAGAAATATCTGTAATGTCTGTGAGAGGGGACACGTGCTTCCTCCTGCAAAAGTGGGATCTCAAAAGGAGCACAACAAGGAGTGCTAACCCTGTTGCCTGTGAACTCCTCTTGATAAAATGTGCCCAGTGGGGTGATTGCAATGGAATCTGAAAATATAGGATTGACTTTTAGCTTTCCCTGATGAGGATCAAACATGTAATCTCATCCATTGGCTAGCTGAAATAACAGGGAGAGGGCAGGAGGAGAAAGTGTCTTCATTAGCTTTCTTCTTGTATTATCCAGCACTGTATTATCCCTCACCTTTTGTGATCCTTTGTAACACCAGCTCGCTAAAGTACATGGCTGGAAATACACACCAGGGTTCATGGTGCATGATTGCTCACAAGAGAATGGGCAGTGACTGTCATTGTCTAGGCTGTTTTGCCAGTTTCTCTTACAATCTTCTTTGGTTTTGGGAGGGGAGGAAGGTTTCTTGGATAAGAACTGGCTCTTCTCTGGCCTGGACAGAGGAGGTATCACCTGTAAACAACTGTAAACAGTTGTAAAACCTGTATCAACTGCACACAGGGAGTGAGCATCCACAGTTCCTGATAACAAAGCTAGAGACTTCTTAACAAATGCCTTGCTCTTTGTGTTGTTTGGGTTTTTTAATCACTTTTTCATACAAAGGTGATGGGAGAATTCAAGAAGGAATCCACTGTGCCTGGCTCAGGTAGTCCCTCAGCTCTGATGCTTCCTGAGATCAACACAGTGTTGCTAGTTGTACTTCCAGACTCTTCAAAACCATGACAGGTCTTAAGATAGAAGATGTCTCTAATGGTGGGGAGTTACAGATCTTTGGGCGTGTTACAGAGATTATGGGAAAGAAGCTGCAGAGGCAGCAGCAGGAACAGCGGTGTGTGAGTGAGAAGTAGCTGCTAATTCCAGGCTTGGACAAGTTGCAGGTCTTGATCTTTGCTGTGAGAAGAAGTTCAACTCGGGTGGTGAACCCTTTCCTGGAAGAGTTTGGGTTATGAAGGTCTGGGGTATGGCAGTTCACGGAGCTTTGGGAAGGAGCAGGAAATGCTCCTCTTGTGAAACAATTTTTGCACTATTTAATGCACGTACTTCAGGATAAAAGCCAGTCTGGTGGGTTTCCTGAAGCAGTGCTGATGTGTCCATCCCTTCATCCCTCCTCTGGTGTGTTCTCTGTCAGCCCTGAATCAGGGGAGTATTGAGGGCTTGTTCAGGGACATACTGTGGTTATTTGGTTATTAATGGGGAAACACCACAGCCTGCTTCAGGGAAAGGGTTAAAAAATGAGAAAACCTTCTATCCTGAGAGACCAAGTCTGCCTTTCTTGTAATGAGCCACTTCACTCAATGGAGGTTTGAGGTGCCTGGTGTCTAAAATAGACATGGACGCTTCCTCCGTTCCCCAAATTGTGGCGAGGGTGAATTAGGATAATGAAAGCAGATGATACATTTAAATGCGTCATGGAAGTGTGGGCAATTGGGCCCTACAGTAATTTAAAAATAAGTATGTATGGGATGAGATTAGCAAATTTGACAGTGCTCAGCTAAGCAGAAGTATCTGGCGATTGCGAGCAGCCCATTCCCAATAAGACCTGCCAATGTAGCCGCGGGCTTTGTTGTATATGGGGGAAAAAAGAGCATGTGGCTACTCTGATTGATTTTTGAACAGGAATTGCAGCACGCAAATGTAATGCAGACTGAGAGGAATAATATCCTTGTTTTTTTTCCTGCTAGGAGACTGGGTACTGCCAGAGGAGGAAAAAAAACTCTATTGCAGCAGTCTGGGCAGCTCATCTTCCCAGATGCCATCCAGTTAGATACTGGCATGTTGTTGTTTAAAAAAAAAAAAAAAGTTTAAAATATTTCAGTACAGAAAGAGTTGGGAAATATAGTGCAGGGGTGCAAACCTCAATGAGCAGGAGCCTTGTGGGGATTCTGCCCGGGGTTTACTCCTCTTTGGTGGCTCTGCTTGGCTCTTCTCCCCTCCAAATGAGTCATGGACACTGTTACTGCAGCAACACTGCTGCCAAGGAGGGGATAAAGCTGTTGCCATGGTGCTGGATGGGCTGGAATTCTGCGGGAGGGAAAACACTTAATAATTAACTTGCAGACAAACGAGGCTTCAGACTTTGCCTGCGTGCTGTAGGGAAGGTGTCCCCAGCTCCCAGGCGACCGCCAGCCTGTGCTGGTACAGTCCCTCGCCTTCGTGGCGAGCAGGGGGAAGGTCCAAGCGTGGCCGTGGGCTGAGGGAAGCGAAGCCAGGGCTGGGGGAAGCTGCTCCTGCTTCTGACAATTTGTATTTTATATGTGGCTGCTCCGAGCAGGGAAGTTGGGGAACAGGTTAAGGATTTGGGCTGGCTGATTTGTCAGAACCCAAAATCATCATGTAATTGCAGGCCATCTACCTGAGGATTGCTGAACAGCGAGGGCTTAAGGCAAGGGGTTGGTTTAAATTTCTGTCCTGTCTCTTTGGCTACTGTTAAAGACAGAAAAGATTCCATGGAGTTCTTAGGCTATTGGGTGTAACAGTAGGCTCATGTTTTCTTGTGGCAATAAAAGGGTTGAGCTTTTGTCTTGTTCTTCCTGGTAGTGTGGGCACTGGTGCTAGTTTGCCTTTGTGTCATGCTGATAGAAAAGGGAAACCTTCCTGCCAAATGCCAGAGATGCTTCCAACACAGTCCCCTCTCTCAAAGCCCATTCCTCTGATCATTTGCCATGTGGTGGTGGTGATGGAGGGCAGTGAAACCAGCCAGAGCATGTTTAACAACACTGTTCCTTGTACTAGTGAGCACTCGGACAGCTCTCAAAGTTAAAGAGATTTGCAAAGGCTCCTAGGACAGTGCAGGTGCTGGATGTGCAGTTCCTGCCCAGCAGCACCAGGAGAAATCTTCCATAGTGCTGACTCCAGCAGCTTTGTCTGTCCCTGTGGAGGACCTGATTTCTGTCATTACAGACCCCAGCCTGAGGGCCCTGCTGCCTGGTTGTTGCAATGTGTGGTGTTTGGGATGTTCTCTTACTACACCACAGCAATCTTTTCCTAACTCCTTATCTAGGAGATGTGTGAACCCCTGCCCATGAATCACAACCCTCGGGTACCAATGTGGGTACCTGATGTGTTATACTGGCACTGGAGCAGGGGTTGTAATGGGCAGGTGGGATCTCTGAGTACACTCTAACCTGTTTTCATACAGTCAATGAATAAGCCTTAGGTGGATGGATGTCTTTGAATTTTAGAAATAAGAAAGCAAACAAAAATAAGCAATATTAGTAGCTGAGAAAGGGCTTAGAATTAAAATGTTAAATTATTACTTTCACCTCAGAATCTCCAAAACAAGTCTCCCACAACATGTAGATGCACAGTTGTTCAAAAGCTAAACCAGCTTGTATAAACACAACATTTATTTAGATTTGTCAGGATGAAGTCAGCTATTGGAGCTGCTTTTAACCTGTGATTGTATGCATGGTGAAAATGAAGTGCCACTGCTCTTTCCCAGAGAGAAGGCTGATACCCAGGCCAGGAAGCTGTCTCGGGGCTCAGTGAGGCTGAAGCCAGAAAGAAGAACCTTCTCCCAAAGATACCAGCTCTTGTGGATGGGCTCTGTTCCTAGACTGGTTTCCTATTACAGGGAAAAGCTTCAACACCAGTATCAGTGCTGAGGAAAACAGAAGTCCTTGTGTGGGACAAGCATCAGTGGAGAGAAGAGGCCATCCTTTGTCTGTGGAGGGCTGGAGACAGGGGAGGTGGCACAAGGGAGGACACTCCTGTTGGAGCTAAGTGCAGTCAGCTTATAGCTCACAAAGCTGCTTAGCACTTGCATTCTGCCAGAGGGCACTTTTTAAAACGGGCAAAGCCTCTTACACTGAACAGGCCAGGATTTGATGGAGGTGATGACTATTCTCAATATCCTGACAGGAAATGGCTGCAGAAGATGCTGGCACAGGGTTGGGAAGAGACGATGACCTCTGAGTGCTGGAGGACTGAAGCCTTTTCCCTGTCCTGTCCAAGCAAGGTGATATGAGCATTCAGAACTGAGGCTGTCCTCATGAACATCAGTTTTGGATTAAAAGTGGGGTAAATCACTCCAAAACCCAGGGTGTATCACTGTCCCTGGAGGTGTTTAAAAGTTGTGTTGATTTGGTGCTTAGGGATATGGTTTAGCAGTGGACTTGGTAGAATTAGGCTAATGGTTGGACTTGATGATCTTGAAGGTGTTTTTCAAGCTAAACAGTTCTGTGATACTAATGGAGGTACATTTGGGGGCTGCTGTCACTGCTCGTTGTGACCTCCAGAGACTAGGTAGAAATACCTGGTAATTCTGGGCAGCCTTCATTTTAATTTGCTTTCCTCTGCAGATTATTTGTGCACTCCAGAGGAAAATGTTTACAAGATAGACTTCACCAGGTTCAAAATCCGGGACATGGAATCTGGCACAGTATTGTTTGAAATCACCAAACCAGCAGCTTCAGGTGAGTGCACACACAAAATACTGTTTTCATGAACAAACAAAGTGCTAGTGTCTGCTGCTTCCTGTTGCCTTTTCCCACTGCTTTTGCATTTCCTAAAAGCAGGACATGCTCTCAACTGCAAGAGGGCTAGAGTCCCAGCTGGCAGCAGAAATACTATTCAGGTGTCCCTTTGTAGCAGCACGTGAACAGAACTTGCTGCTGTGCTCTTACGATTGCCATCTGTGATGAGAAAGAACAGATGGATGTTGTAAACAGGAGCAGAGGAGGAGGAGATCACTGTGTGTTTGTTTCTTGGCTGTTCATCAGCTGGGGTCCCCTTGTACATGGCTTCACTGTTAGTTTAACATCTTTCCTTCATCAGTCAGGAAAATGGTATTTCCCAAGGGAGAAACTTTGTCAGTTGTGCAAATCAAACTGCAAATTTGCTTCTTAAATTTTTCTTCATAATTTTTAGGTATTACTTGTAACCATCAAAGTGTTACCAGTGGTAACAAAAACCCAGGACAACTGCTCTTTTCCTGATTTTTACAAGCACTCTTGTAAATCTTCCCCATCTCCTTGCTAAGGTGAGAGGAAGTTTTCTGTGGCTTAGAGACAGCAAACCAGACATGCTCAGGTGAAGTGGCTTGTTCAGAGTCCTGCTGCCATGCTGAATCAGAGGTAGGAACAGTCAGCCCCTTCAGAAGACCAGAGGTATATCAAACCAAAGGGCCATCTTGCAATCCTCTTGTCTCTGAGTGACCAACAGTGGAGGCCTTAGAGAGGGTGAGAAGAAGCTAAGCACACTGGGAGGGACGCTCAGAGTAGTTCCCTGGCTTCTCCGACTCAGTAAGGCATGATTGTGAGTGTTTTCACAGAGTTTCTGTTCCTCAGAGGACTGTGACGGAGCTTTCCTTTGCACTTTTCCAGAACGTGAGCACAATGACAAGAAGGACATCGACCCGAATGCTGGACGGTTTGTGCGCTACCAGTTTACCCCGGCTTTTCTTAGACTTCGGCAAGTGGGAGCCACGTGAGTCATTGCTCCTGTGACACTTTTTTCTAGTATCAGGAATATTTTCTAGTATTCAGGAAACAACTGAAATCTTAAGAAAAGTGACTCTTGCTTGTTGATCCTCTCAGGAAGTTGATTTTAATAGGGATCTTTTGTTATTATGAGAATCTCCAAACTTCTTTGCTTTGCCTTGCTTTCTCCATTCCTTCAGCTTATTTCCTTGGGAATAGCATAGGGTGAAAAGATTAATGCTAAAAGAGGCAAAATAAGGTAGACAGACTACCCAGGTGTTCCAGTTCTTGTTTGTCAGAGGCTCTGCCAGATATGGAAGGTGTGTCTGCAGCTTTCTGCATTACATTACCCCCAAAACACTAACGCACAGATGCACACGAAATGGTGAAGTCATGTTTGACACTCTCAACAACTCCCTGAAAGAAGGTTGGAGCCAGGTGAGGGTTGGTCTCTTCTCCCAAGGAACAAGTGAAAGGAAATGGCCTCAAGTTGTACCAGGGGAGGTTTAGGTTGGACATGAGGAAAAATGTCTTTACTGAAAGGGTTGTCCAGGCCTGTCCCAGGCTGCCCAGGGCAGTGGTGGAGTCCCCATCCCTGGAGGGGTTTCAAAGCTGTGGAGATGTGGTGCTGAGGAACATATTTTAAGATGACCTGGCAGTGCTGGGTTAACAGTTGGACTTGACAATCTGGAAGGTCTCTTCCAACCAGAACAATTCTATGATTCTGTGTACCATCATGATCTTTGATGTGTCTGGCAGTACTGCTTGCATTCATCAATAAACCCCACCAAAATGTGACACCTAATGTATCTTTCTGTAAAGCTCTAGGCTAAAGTTATTGTTACTATAGTACAGGTGATGAAATGTATTGTTCCTGTAGTAAAAGTTAGTAGTAATTAATACTAACTACACTATTATTACTAACTTACTATTAGCTAGTTTTATCTGCTGTTAAATATCATGAAGGGGAGATGCAATTTTTGGCTTGTGTTTCCTCTTTTGGCCCTGCAGAGAGCAGGGTGGTGGGCTGCTTTGTCCTTACTGGAGATTTTAGAAGGATATTGGTTCACAGTGTGGCAGGTTCTTTGTTGTCTTTGTTTTTCTTCACATTCACTTAAGTTTAAATTAGTAGACCTAATCAGGAGCTTTATGCCCATTACTAGTATGTCATTAAGTCCATAATAGTATAATTGAGCATCAGTTTCCAGTGCAAACCTATTTGCTTCAGGTGTATAGAAATCATTAGTTTGGGTTCATGTTGGAGTGCACTTTGATAGGTCCCTTCAGCTGCAAATGTGTATTGCCTAAGAGCTGATAGACAGTAGCCTTGCTTAAAAAACTAACAAAAAAACTCCAAAAGAAGCCTTTTCAAGAACCTGATTAAAGTTCAGCATTTGGTTCTGATGTGAAAGAATTAAATTTTGTTGTCAGAGAGTACATGCAGAGCAAGTTTGCACATTACCACTTCCTGCTAATCTTAAAGATGGGCACCATTTAGATTTTGAGTTGGGAGAAAAGTTAAAATTATGCATCAATTAGCAGCTCTTTGGCCACTATTTGGTTAAAATGGTAAACACCTAACTTCTGTTTTGTGCCAAACTAGTAACAGTGCCTTCCTGGCTTACTCCTAGAGTATGGTGTGTAACTAATACCAATCCTACTCCAGGAGGTCATGCTTCTTGGTGAGAGAAACCTGAATATAGTGCTGGCTGAAACTTTCCTCCTTTACCATTTATAAAGCAGGAACAGAAGAGACTATTTTCTGCACATCTGGCTTTTTTTTTTTTAGTACCCTCTTATTTAGCCATTTAACTTTACCCACAAGTTATTTTAGTAGCTTTTATAAAAATCCAAAGCAATAAGGAATGTCTAGTGAGTGATGCAGTGAAGTGCCTGTCTAGTGTAGGTGGTGGGATCTTTCCTTCACTGAAGGTGAATTTGAGATTATAAAATTGTCTTGCATGTAGTTTTTAGCAAGAAGAAACAAAATACAGCATAATCCATGATTTGTAATGCTATATTGTGTCCCTGTAGAATGCTTTAAGCAAGAGAGACAATGATAATTTGATTAGTATTATTGCTTTATGTTTTCAGCTGTTTTTAGAAGAGCTCTATTCTACCTTTCAGGAATGGATGCAAATCTTACTTCAGGAAGAAAGCTCATTTCAATCTTATCCTTCTTTTCCAGGGTGGAATTCACAGTAGGGGACAAACCCATTAATAACTTCCGCATGATTGAGAGGCATTACTTCCGGGATCAGTTGCTTAAGAGTTTTGATTTTGAATTTGGGTTCTGCATCCCCAGCAGTAAAAACACTTGTGAGCACATCTATGAATTCCCCCAGCTCTCTGAGGATCTCAGTAAGCTCTCTTCAGTTTTGGGGTTACCATGTAGTGATGTCAGTGTAAAGTGTTTTGAGGAAGCCCTTTCTTAAAGCTGTCTGTAAAAAGTGGGGAGGGTGGAGTACTTCCAGGTAGTTTTGTATCTGTGGGAATACAGATTTTGTTTTCTAGTAGCATGTATCATGCCATCCACCAGATATTTGTGGTTTGGGTTCTTTTTATGTTTTTTTAACTCATAAAAGGGAAGCTTCAGTGTTTGGGGAGAAAAAAAGACAATTGTGTTATCATCCAAACAAAAAAAAACCTAGATTAAAAAGGCATTCAGTAAATGAATGACTTAAATGTTATGTTCTATTTTAACATTTGATGTGCTGTATTGAGAGGGTTTAGTTTTAGGATGAACATAACTTTTATTTTCTCTCCTCTCTCCCAAGATACAATAGCATGAGCACTAAGTCTCTGTGATCTTACATTCTTTAGAACTGCTAACCACACACATCAGCACTAATATTGCAGTCTGTGGAAAACACAGTGTTACACTGCTGCTTGCTTACTGTCACACCAGAACACAGCTCGTTTGAGTTCCCTGTTTTACCCCCTTTTTAAAAACAAAGCAAACCCAAACTCTGTTGTGATACTGTTTTGAGGTTAGGTAGAGCACTTACGCTTTGTATGGTGCCATAACATATTTAGATTTTGAGTTCTTTAAAAGATAAGGTCAACAAATGGTTTGGGTAGGTTCCTGTTTTGGTTTTTCACTTCAGAGTTTGCTGCTCTCTGAGCAAACAGAGTGTTGCCTCAGCAGGGCTTCTGTGTAACATAGCTGATTTTATTTTTCCTTTTTTCACCTGCAGTTCGAGAGATGATCCTTCATCCATACGAGACACAGTCGGACAGTTTCTACTTTGTAGACAACAAGCTCGTGATGCACAACAAGGCAGATTATTCCTACAGTGGAGGACCTTGAGCACGGGGTGGACAGCCAACCTGTGCTGGCCTTCCCTTTCCTAGCAAAGTCATCAGGGATACCAACACCATCAGTTCCGTTGCCTGCAATGTCAACTGGACAAGGATCCACAAACCAAGGACTTTTTGCCACAGTAGGAGTTTCATGACTAAATTTGCCAGTCTTGTCTTTTTAAAGCTTTGAAGCAGACCCAATTCTTCAGGACTTAAATCGGTTCTACAATGCTAAATGATCTTTGGATACCACTTCCATAAGTTCTTTAAGTGTCTGCTTTGAAAACAGCCTTGTGGGACCTGGGAGAATTTACCCAAATCCTGCGGATTGGTGTTCTTGCCCTCCAGCATCTTTTAGGACATGATTGCTTTCTCAAAGAGTCTAATCTGAGAAGCCACGTGAGTGGATGGATGCACATACAGAGTTCTGGTTATTTGTTTCTCTGTGAATGTTTCAAAGGCATGGCCAATTTAACTTGTCCATCCAGTTGAAAATGTCGAGTGTAACACCTTACAACAGCAAGATTCCTCTTTAGATTAGCTCTCTAAGTATTCAATCTTTTGGTTTTGTTCATTCTGTGTAATATTCTGTTTAGTCTTGGAAACACTGAAACTTGCAATGAAGACCAGCAGTTTGATGACAGAACTGGTTTTAATTGGGTACTGTCCTTTTACATTTCAGATGAAGGCAAAATACCATTGGGGGTTTCTGAACCCCCATAGGAGTTTTCCATTCATTTCAGCTCTTGCAAACTGATTGCAGAATAATAAGGGAAAAAAAATGAAGAATTTTGGGTTTATTTAACATTTTTACATAGCTAATGTTCAGTCTGTTCATGCTGTATGTTTTCCATGTCTGTTTTCTTTAATCTCTGCTCAATACTAAGATAAGGGCTTCAGCACAGCTTGTTAGAGCAACACTTTCATTTGTCTAGGGTAGCTGGAAAGTGTGGAATTTCCAATTTTCCACTTCTATCTGAATTTGAAGAATGTTAGGGCAGTGTTTTCCCTTTGTTAAAAATGTTTCACGTGGGATATTAATAGAGGTGAAACAGTAGGCCTAATAATGTAGGACTTTTAAGGCACAAAAATTTAGCAAAAGCTCTCTCTTTATGCACTGTAAGGAGTTTAAGACCAATTTTGCTGAAGTTTCTCAGTGTGTGCTTCTTAGAAAGACAATTACAGAGCAGTAGCAACATCAAAAGAGTAAACTAGTATCTGCAAAACAAAATGGGAGAGGGCTGCATGGGATAGCCTCTTGTCATGAAACCCTTACTCTGAAGGTCAGTTCACTGATACTTTGAAAAACATAAAAGACAGTTGCAGTTTGTAGATATTTCTATAAATACTTGGTGTCTCCATGTCTAATTCTGTGAGTTCAAGTGGAACATTATATGTTAGCCTCAGATAGGTGTGATTGTAATAATTTTTATAAAATACCATTTTCAGTCGTGATTAACATCTTTCTAGTCACAGCCTAAGTCAAACAGAATTACAAATGGTTCCAAATGTAGCCATCTGCCTAAGAACAGGGAGGTTTTTGTGCTCTTGTTGGGGTTGTGGTCACTATTAAATGTGTTACCATTTGTATTTGGCTTGGCTTTCTGTACTTTGGAAAGAAGATTCAGTTTTCTAAAGACAATGCAGTGAGTTTAGGCTACAGCACAGAATTTTTTTTTATCAAGATTGATAGCTAAGGAAGTACATAAAGTTCACTGATTTTACACAACTAGAGTCTTGTAGTAATTATTAGCACAATGAGACTTCTATTTATCACTATTTTTTTGTCTCTAGTGTATTCAAACAGCCTATGGCCATCTTATCTGATTGAGAGTTACAAAGAGTTTCCTCATTATTCGTACAATGCTTTGAGCTACCAATCATTAAGTTTTATAACACAGTAATTACTAAAGGTGAAAATAGTTTCAAAAAGTCTAGGTCTTTCCCTCTCTCCCTTTTTTTTTTTTTGCATCAGGGCTGTTGAACTGTCTCTATATTCAATGTCATTTAAAATGAATATTTATGAGTTTTGTTTCAGCTCTTGAAGGAGAAAATATACTGGTTTGAAGACAAAAGAGAGTGTGTGTATTTATAATGAGCACCCTATACATTTTTTTTTCAGGGTATCTTCCAACTCTCTCCTGCTGTTCATAATAAGAATTTCTGTGCATAAGATTTTTAAAAGACTTTTAGCAATGGTGCTTGCCCAGAATTGCCAGTTATACTGGCAATATATTATATTTCATATTCTATATTTTGAATGGATGTGTGTTTCAAACAGAAATTACATCTCAGTACGTTTTGGTGGGAGCAGTTGTACCTTGGTGCTTTGACTCTCGGGTTCTGGCACTGAGGATCCTCTCTGCACAGCATATCACTGTCAGCTGATCCAAAATAGTCATGTTCTGCTCCTTTTTTATGCTACCTCCTTTTAAGACTTTGGACTGCAAAACCAAAAGTAATTCCATAAAAATATTACTGTCAGCAACAAAAACTTGAGTGGTAGACATGTCCCTTTAAAAGAACACCTGGAGAAAGTTACCTCGTTCCCAACAGTGCAGTCTGTTGTTGAATGGACTTTCTGACACTCTGCATTTTATGCTAGGTTTGAGCTTAAGGGGAGGATGAATTCTCTGCTGCTGACCTCCTGGATTCTGCTAACTGTTCTGATAATTCAGATTCTATGGATAACAATTTCAAGCTAACAGAAAATTTAGCACGAATCATAGGAGGTATTTCATGGCGTGAATTTGTTGTCTTGTATTATTAGGAATATTTTAAACCAGAAACAAGTAGTGGACATTATTAATAAAATATATTTCAACCTATTTTATCTTTAGCTTTCTAGTTTGTGGAATTTTACTTAAAAAAAAAAAAAAATAATCCTTGCAGTTTGCTACAAATAAGTTCTGATTCTTAAACCAAGGCAAGGAACAGCTTTCTGTGGGAAGTGTAAAGTAGGTGCTTTTTTTGTAACCCACTGCAACAGTCATCACTTATCTCTCTGTTTCACTTAGAAACAGGTTGTTTGCATTTCTTTAAGGTCATCTACACCCACAATGTTTACAAACATGTCCAAGGGAGAGGCTCCATTCCTCTTCTACCTGTTCATGCCACAATATGTGTAGTGTTGACATGAGACATATTGTTGCACATAAACAGCACTAGAAGAGTATTTCTTCAAAAGTTTTGCAGTAGAGTTGCTGTTCTAATGCCACTTCTGTCCTTGTTTTGCATTAAAACTTAATGTAAAAAATGTTAAAGACCATACTTTGTACAGCACTGAACAACTTCATCTGAAATGGAGCAGGGAGTGCTCAGGTCAGCTGTAAAATGAAATCTACATTTTTGTTACTTAAATTGGCAGCTGGTTCTTATTATACACCAGTCAAAAATCAAATCTTAACAGCATTGTTCACAGAAAAATTTGTTGGACTCCTTGACTAGTTATTTTGTATTTTAGTATTACTCTGTGTTTGGTTTACATTGGAAGTTTATCTCCAAAATCACCAAATATTTGCTCTGGAAAAATAATTATTGTAGTTTTTATTTGGTCTCATTAAAAAAACTATTTTAACTAGCATTACAGCTTTGTTTTAATGAGCCAGTCTAGAAATTCAGGATCTGACTTTCTTAAAGTGAAAAAAAAACCTAAGAGCTAACCAAGATTATCTGCTAAGACTAGCTGCTTCCTGGCTTAAGACAGGATCATATGTGTACTTAACAGAGTGAATTAATCTTGGAAATAGAAACAAAATCTCTCTGAGTGCTAATAGTGACATATTTTTTAGAGTGACAAGGAAATTATAATTCAGCACATCGTTTGAGTTTCTCAGTCTTGGATTCCATTAAACATCAAGTTTTTTTAAAGAGAAGCAACAGTAATATGTTTGTGGTTAACTGCCATGTTTCATGGTCTAACAAGTCACAGACTTAAGTGGCAGAAGGAGAACAATTTATTTTTAAAATTAACACATCAATTTTAAGCATGGTTTAAACTGCAGGAACTTTGTTCTCAGATCAGTGACAAAAGCCAAAATTGTCTCTGTATCCTTTATGTGGTGACTTTTATGAAATGGCTGAATAATCCATTCTCCCTGACTCAGAATAATTTATTTATTTTTTTTTTAATATAGAAAGTCTCTTCAGGCTTGAGAGCAAGGTGTTAGGGTTTAGTTCTTGCCCACAGCCTCTGTCTTGTGTTTGAGCAGGGCCGTAAGACAGCTCTGCCCTCCATTTGAGTTTCATTTCAGAGAAGTGGAGTGTGCAAGTGGTGGCTGGCTGTGTGTGAAACATTGCAGGCTACCAAGTTCCAAATTCCTTCATTTCAAGCAAACAGACTATTAAATTATATTGAGAAATAGTGCTACATGTTGACCCATAAAAACTGAATTCCAATCCTGATGACAAAAATTAAAGGGAACTCTTATTCATGCAAAGATTGTTTGTGGGCTTTTTAAGGTAAGAGAATGCTAATACTCAACACTGGTACTTAATAAGTATTATAAAACTGATCTCTTAATTATTCATAACCTGAAAAAAATATGGTTAGCAGCTCAAGTTTAATTAGATCTGGTTAGGAATGAAACTATAGAGATTATTGCTGTCCCTTCTGAGGGGGTGGGAGAGAGCAGCTGTGTATTGTGTACAAAAGCTACACAGCTTTATGTGCACTGACTGTAGCAGTAAATGCTCTCTTTGGGGAAAAAGCAGGGAGAGGGACAAGGACAGGAAATGAGTTAATTTTAGCTAATTAGAACCAAGAGCTTTAAGGCCATGGGAAGTGTAAATGTTTTTTCTTCATTATTTGAGATACCTGGTAGCTTCTGTTAGCAGTTCTTTTCCATACCCCAAGCATAAGCACTACCTTAGTTTAAACAAGTGTTTCATTATTGCTCAGATATTAAATTTCACTGACAGTTCATATCATCTTCTAAACATGGAACTATATTTGAAGAGTGTGATGCTCTAGGCCTCAAGCTGCAGCTCAGTTGTTTTCTAAATCCC